CTTGACTTTGGTATCCTCTCTCTCATCCATGGCTTAAAATGAGAATTGTAGTGTGCTGTGCTTTGTGGGCTTTCATAAACCAGCTTTAGACACAAAGAAACCTCTCGCCACTGGAAGGGAAACCCACCAGAAAGGATCAGGAAAATAAGTGAGATTACTGTCCTGGGAAAGTCATTGATGCATGCCAAAATAGGAGCCTACCCATTGTTGAACAGTAAGCCCCAGGAGTTCTGCTGTCATTTTCTGGCAACATTGGGTATTTTTTTCAGAGTCTCAGTGAATTCTAATTGCACTGAGGCAGTGGTCTTCCCTGGGACATGGGACATTGCCGTGGCCTTCTCTGGGATGTTGCTTAGCCCACTGGTCATCAGGTTGCTTGGACTTAAATGAAAAATGGAGAAACAGACCATTCCTCATAATCTTACTAATAAATTTTACTTGACTTTTCTTTCCAGGAAGGTCAGACATATGTTGGTAGGGAAGATGCTTCAACAGAACAAGATATTGGTGAGAATCTTAATCAATTTCCTCTTCCCAACGATTGTAAAAATCAGTTAATGAAGAACTTTCTGTTGAATGATGAACATGAAGTAATTATAAAAAAACACTTTTTCAAATACAGTATTTATCAGTATGTGTATTTCTATAATATCTAACTCAACACAAATGAATAACAATTAATTTAGTGAATAAAATGGAACTATGAATTCTTTCCCCCCACCCTACATGCATTCTATGCTCCATCATGTCTTCCAGGAGTACAGTGATTTAAATCACCATGCTCTTGTCACAGTGGGACAAAGTTGATAAAAATATGCCAACAAACACAGGTAAAGAATACAAGACCCCTTGAAGGGAAGGTTATAGACACTTACCTGCACAAAGATGATGATGGAAAGTAGGATACACAGATACAGCATACACACCTATGGAGGCATGATTTCCTAGGTTTCTTGAAAGTCTCAATGAGGCAAACAGATTACCAGGGATTCAGCCTGAGCAGGGTGAGGGCTTGCCAGGTTTTAAAAGCATAACTTAGGGAATGTGTGGTGGTGGTGGTGGTCTGTATATGTGTGTGGCAAGGTGGGGATTGACAGGGGAAGAATTATATCTTCTCAGCTGTTTTTAGAATTGCAGGTGATGAACTTGCTTTCTTGCCAAGTGTAAGCTATTAATCAAGCCAACCCTTGCATATTCCTACATGTATTTACTATTTCCTGTGAAAATAGGAGAGCTGAAAACCAATTCCCGAAAGTTCTTAGGTTCAACTGTTTTTGAGTAGAACTAGGCATCAGGCCTCTTTTAATCATTAAATTATGTGTTTGACCTTTGAGGTTGCTATAAATGATTATGAGTGATAAGAACACATGTTTTCTGTGAACAGAGCAGTTCAATAGTGCAGTTCTGTGGAGACTAGTGGGAGCTATTTCATCTGTACTTGTGAGAATCTGGCTAAGATCTGGGCCTAAAACCATGTAGGTTTATTTGACAGGACTTCATATCCATGCCTAGCCAGTCATTAAAAAAATAACTCAGGTCGTCATATGTGATTAGGTAAACCTTAGCAGCCACATGTGCTGAGAGATCTGTGGAGGTCCAGTTCTCCCAGAATTGACACAGGCTATAGCATTATGCATCCCAGTATAGCTTTGAGAGACTTCCTTGGGCTTCCGAAGATCCATGCCATGCTAAATTCACCTTTTTTTCACTCCTGGAACACAGTGCCTGTAAATGTGGAGGTCATAGTAAGTCCTTGACCCATGGAGCCCTTTTGTTCCCTTCATTTTACTGTGACCTTTGGGTGGCTGGTAAAGAAAATTTATTCAGCATCAAACAGAGTGACTCAGTGGTGTTCTTAAAACAAATTACTCAACTAATTTTTCCCTGAAGATGAAATAAATTAACATCCCAGAACTTATTTCCTTATACAGGTGATATACAAACCCTTTGTGGTAACATTTAAGGGATACCTTCATTTCTATCAGTTAATGCCACGAACTCCTGAAATTCAATTTCCTCAACGAACATAAATGTTCACTTCACAATATTTACATAGAAAAGGGAAAGTATTCAATATGGGGAAAAAATAAGGGTTAGGAATCATTGCGTAAGATACCAAAGTAAAATTTTTCTTTTTCCTTTATTTTTCTTTAAATTTAGTTCTTCATGGCCTCGACTTGGAGAGTGAGCACTGTGTCTTTGAAAATGTTGGGGGGACGGTGACTCTGATACCCCTGAGTGGGTCTCAGTGCTCTGTGAATGGTGTTCAGATCATGGAGGCCACACACCTAAATCAAGGTATCTGGGTTCTGGTTTTCTGAGTTTTTTATATATATTGTTGCTAGAAAACAAGTTGGCTAGGTAATGGGGGAACATGTGGATCTTAGAATTAGTTACCAATTAAGTATTAAAAGATTGAAGACTGCTTCATTATGCTGTTTTCTCTTTCATTTTGCTGAAGGACTTCTTTATAATACCCACTATCTTGTTGAATTAAACATGTATGTATTTGTCTTAGAAGTTATTGCTGTAATGGAAATATGACTTTAACAGATTTTTTTAAGTTAAAAAAGTACACTTCCAATGCAAAACCTTAACGCAATGGCTTTGTTTAGTAATTTAATTACCTAATTTATATTTTTTAATGAAAAGTTAGAATTATAGCATACAGGATCTGAAATCTTTTTTCTTTTGAAATAATTTTATTATTATAGAAAAGTTGCAAGAATAATACAAAGAACTTTTTTAACTTCAGAAGGATTTGAAAATAAATTGCTAATATCA